GTTATACATTAGAAACCTCGAAATAGAGAAAGTTTGTAATTAAATAGGTATTTATGTATGCTTCATCGGTATATGCGATACTGGTATCCAACTCGTTTAATCAAATCAAATTTAAACCTTAAGCGAAATCCCAAAAATGCTTTCCGAATTTTTTTTTAGTTTTAGACCCTGATTACCAAATGTATTGCTCTGTACAAACTAATAAACTTATATTTTTTCAGGCCTCCATGGACGAGAAGTACGTGGAGACCATTTGGGCCAGTTTGAAAAATGCTATCCAGGAGATACAGAAGAAAAACAACTCCGGGCTGTCGTTTGAGCAGCTCTACCGGAATGCGTACAACATGGTGCTGCACAAGCACGGCAATAGACTGTACTACGGCCTGAGGGAAGTCGTCTCAGAGCACCTGGAGCATAAGGTGCGGGCGGACGTGCTGGAGGCACTGCACAGCAACTTTCTGCCCAAGCTTAACCAGGCCTGGACGGACCACCAGACCTCCATGGTGATGATACGCGACATACTTATGTACATGGACAGGGTCTATGTGCAGCAGCGTGAGGTGGACAACGTATATAATCTTGGATTGATTTTGTTTAGAGATCAGGTAAGGAATTAAATTCGAATTTTAATTTGCATCTTACTTATTTCCAACTTTATCGATGACCAGGTCGTTCGCTACTCGGAGATCCAAAAGGCCCTGCGGGAGAAATTGCTAGGCATGGTGATGGAGGAACGACATGGCGAGGCCATTAACCATCTGGCGATCAAGAACGCTTGCAGCATGCTGATCACACTGGGAATCAACTCGCGCACTGTCTACGAGGAGGACTTTGAGAAACCCTTCCTTGCCCAGTCGGCAGCGTTCTACAAATTCGAGTCGCAGAACTTTCTTGCCGAGAACAACGCTGGCGTTTACATCAAGAAAGTCGAGGCGCGCATCACAGAGGAATCTTCACGGGCAGCGCTTTATCTGGACAAGGACACAGAGCCGCGCATCGTGCGCGTTGTCGAAGAGGAACTGATCAAAAAGCACATGCGCCCCATTGTCGAAATGGAGAACTCAGGCGTGGTATACATGATCAAGAATTCGAAGACCGAGGACCTCGCCTGCACATACAAGCTCTTCTCGCGCCTGAAGGAAGAGGGCCTCAAGGTGATAGCGGACACCATGTCGGCATATCTGCGAGAGCAGGGACGCATGCTGGTCAAGGAGGAGGAAAACGGCAACACGAATCCCATCACATTCGTGCAGAACTTGCTGGATCTCAAGGATCGGTTCGACCAATTTCTAGTGCACTCGTTCGCCAACGATCGCATATTCAAGAACGTCATCTCGTCAGATTTCGAGCATTTTTTGAACCTTAACAACAAATCGCCGGAGTATTTATCACTTTTCATCGATGACAAACTGAAAAAGGGGGGCAAGGGAGTGAGTGTTCCATTACAATATGCTTTGTGACATTTATAAGTCTTTATTTTTTTACAGATGAGCGAGCAGGAAATTGAGTCCATCTTGGATAAGACAATGGTGCTCTTCCGTTTCCTATTGGAGAAAGATGTCTTTGAGCGCTATTACAAGACGCATTTAGCCAAGCGATTGCTGCTAAACAAATCAGTCTCTGATGATTTCGAAAAGAACATGATATCCAAACTAAAGGTGGGCACAAACTTTTAAATAGCTACGCAACATACATTCATTGTTTTTATCTTTGTTGCAGACTGAATGCGGCTGTCAATTCACCTCGAAGCTAGAGGGGATGTTTAAAGACATGTCAGTCTCCAATACGATCATGGATGAGTTTAAGAGCTTTGTAAATAATAACAATTTATCCCTCGGCGGTGTTGAGTTAACGGTACGCATACTAACCACTGGCTTCTGGCCCACACAGGTAAGTTCGAAAAATCGGATATGTCTTGAAAATTTGTTAATTATATTCAATTTCCCTAACAGACAGCAACTCCCAACTGCAACATACCCGCCGCACCTCGCGAAGCCTTTGACATTTTCAAGAACTTCTATCTAAATAAGCACTCAGGGCGTCAGTTGACGTTACAGCCACAAATGGGTAAGCTAAAGATATGCACATGCCTAATAAATACCGTTTTCTAACAATTTTTATTTGAATAGGAACCGCCTATATTAACGCTGTGTTTTATGGCCGCAAAGCAGCCGAAAGTGAAAAAGATAAAGATGCACCCAGCTCCAGTTCGAGCGGTTGTGCAGTGCCCACCACCACACGAAAGCACATTCTGCAAGTGTCCACCTACCAGGTGAGTTTAAAAATGTATATTCTTTGAATCCAAACCAAATAATACTGCCTATCTAAATCGAACTATAATGAAAACTAGAAAGGATATTTTAAAATATATTAATATCCCCAAAATAGATGTGCGTTCTACTGCTTTTTAACAACCGTGACGTCCTCACCTATGATGACATCCACCAGGAGACGGACATACCGGAACGGGAGCTGGTGCGAGCTCTGCAATCGCTGTCTATGGGTAAACCCGCTCAGCGTTTGCTGGTGCGCAATTCCAAGACGAAAACTAAGGACATCGAGCCCACGGACGAGTTCTACGTAAATGATGCCTTTGTCTCCAAGTTCCACAGGTGAGATATTTTTATTTATTTAGAAACAACTATGACTAATGTTTGAAAAAACAATCATAATTTCAGGGTAAAGATCCAAACTGTGGCCGCCAAGGGCGAATCGGAGCCAGAGCGCAAGGAGACGCGCGGTAAGGTCGACGAGGATCGTAAGCATGAGATCGAAGCGGCCATTGTGCGCATCATGAAGGCGCGCAAGCGCATGGCTGTGAGTACTTGGGGTTGCAAAACCCATCTTGGCTTGCCTAGATGCAATTATCTATTTATTACGATTTGTATTTTTTTAGCACAACTTGCTTGTGTCGGACGTGACGTCGCAGCTGAAGTCGCGCTTCTTGCCCTCGCCCGTGTTTATCAAGAAGCGCATAGAGGGCCTTATCGAGCGCGAGTATCTGCAACGATCACCCGAGGATCGCAAAGTTTACAACTACTTGGCCTAAGCGGCTAACGTGGAGCAGTAACAGCATCTTGATCAGGATCCGGATCACACTCAACTTCAAATCGCCAGGGCTAGAACACTGAAAACAAATGCGCAGCTCGGATAGCGCATGCGCATGATAACACGAGCAGCAATGATATTTTTGACCACGATTATAGATGACCGCCAGCCAATAACCCCAAAAGCATAATTATACCAATAAGTGCGCCCCGAATTGTGAAATTTCGATTCGCAACCCTTTTTGTAAGCCTGACATTCAAAATTGATCAGTTTAAAATGCTATCGGATAAGGCAAGCCTCACACTACAATTATTATCCCTCTAATATATTTCTTGATATTCTCTAAACACTGTTTACGGTCATTTCATTGCGCATAGCAAGTGTATAGCAGTAAGCCCAACCCACACACCCAATTCAGAGCCACTTCATCATCCACTCACAAGAATCGTACGCAAAGCAAGATAAGAGAAATAATGCATAATGCAGCCCTAATTGTAAGCAGCTAAGTAAAAAGTAAAGAAGCAACAACAGAAATATAAGCAAAAAGGAATATTAATAACTATAAATATAGCTAAAATAATAAATTTATAAATGAATTATTAATTTTAGTGAGCGTTTGATGTAAATTTATACGTCTGACCCAAATCCAAGTCCTAATCCCTTTGCTAAAACATTCAAGCCACATTTTGAGATTTATGTGAACAGAACTTAAAGATTGCAATGATTATTCCTATCTTTATTTTTGTGTACGCCCAAAGCAAGTGTTTAACGTGCAGTGATTATGATAATCTGTATGAAAGTTGTTTTATCTATTAGTTGATATGTGGATTCGATTCCAAGTATATAGGCAACAGTTCTGTAATGGATTTGAATTAAGTAGGACACAAAGAATTCATTTGGATTAAAATAAAAAAAATAACGCCGAACAAAAGCATGAAACGGAAGCAAACGCGATCTAAATATTGTAAATACATTTTTGTTCTTACGTATGAGAAATCGATATAAATAAAACGTATAATGAGCGTTAACATTTAACAGTTGTTGTCTATCTTTTAAAAGGATTTTTAAAAATTTTTAATGGAATGCTTATATTCGCCTGTAAAATAAAACTAATTTGGTAACAATTTTTATCCACAAAAAATATTGTATAAATTGGTGCTTAAACTCTTGCTACTCATAAAATGTTGGGTGGGTTATGATGCAATTCTCTTAGTAAAGGCTTTGTAGAAATGGAAGACACAAATTGGGTAAAGATTTTCAATTATTTTTTATTATTAAGCTTTCTAAATAATTTCTTAGGTATTACTGAAATTTGGGCATTATGTTTTGTAGTTATGTTTGCCGAATTGACTTGCTTTATTTAGTGCCAAGTTTGTAACAAATTTTTTTCAAAATTGAACCATTTTTTTAACAACCTATGGAAACTATATTTATTTCGATTAAACAAAAATGTTCCTTATTAATTTAGGAAGAAAACTCAGTTATATTTCGGCTGGTTTCAAGGGATTGTGCAACCTTTTTGAATGCTCAGCTTATCGGGCAGCAAGACCATTCCCATATCGGAGTTACCAATTCGGCCAAACAAACTTATCCAATGGCAAATACCCCACCAAACGAGATAACAAATATACGAAATTGGCCGAACCGAGACCGCAACTTTGGCAAACATCGATGACTTGCGGATATACTAAGTTATGTATATCGGGAGCCCGGGGCAGAAATTCAGCACTGCTAAGTTCTTGGGTAAACACCGAGCGATCCAATTCGATGCGATCCGACGCACTGATAAGCAAGAGAGTGGAGTCGAGTTTCCCCAGTGGATGAGAGAGAATGGATGGTGTTCTCCGGGTTTTTGGGGGAGCGAATACGAACCGCTCAGTTCGCTTTAGTTAGCGATCGAGATTCAGTTTTCAGTTTCGGTTTCGGTTTCAGTTTTTGCTACGGTCCCCAGGCGAAACGTTGTTCGCCGATCTCGCGGAATTTGGATCGGAACGGGGTAAAAAAATATAAAAACAACAAGCTGAAACCGTATACTTAATACGCGTGTGTGTAGCTCAAAAAAACAAGAAAAATATAAATAAACAAAACTACATGCTACGTCAGAAGACTACAAACAAAAGATATGAACGCAGCGCTGACGTCGCCGCCAAGGTTCGAATCAGATATTATTTTTTTTTCGCATTTTTTTTCCAACCATTTTAGTGTTGTTTTTTGATAAGTTTACAACTTTTACAACTGTTGTGTATTTTTTTTTTTGTCGTGAGTGATTTTTCGGCCAAGTGATTTGCGTGCGGTTGAAGGGGAGGAGAACTGCATTCGAGGCCCTCACTCTTTCCGATCAGCAGTGCCTTGAGATTGCCGCTCTCGAAGTGAACGTTCCGATGTGGAAACCTTATACACATGTCTAATTACACAAGCTAATCCCAGCTGAACTAAATCGGCTTTAAATCGGCAGCATAAGAACTCGAAAATTTAATGATATCTCGCAGTTGGAACGGAAGGAGGAAGTAGTCGAATTGTGAATCGTAGTAATGGGCTCTCGCCGGTCTGGTTTCATCCTGGACGCCAGGACAATGGGCCTGAATCCCTCCAGACCGCCATCACCGTCACGTGCGCCAGCCGCCAGCCCAAAGTGTAAGGAGCAGGAGCAGTCGGAAAAGGAAGCCAAGCAGCTGGACAAATCCAGTAACTCCAAGCTAGATATCCAGACGAGGGAAGGATCAGTCGTTGAGGCATCTTCGCATGCCCAGTGCAATGTCAGCACGGACTCCGTGCCCACCGATTACTACCGCTGCCTGCTCCAAAAACTACGGCACGCCACTGGCGACGCCTCCGAGGTGAACTTCGAGCTGAACAACATATTTCTCAAGCGACTGGACGAGATTGACTGCCTGGCTGGGCAGGGCGTAGATGCAATGGTGAGCGGATAGGTAATCCATTGGGGGCAATGTCATAGAGGAAATTTAGAAATGTATCAATTGGCTTGGAAATTGACTAGAAAATTAATTTAAATATATTTATCAAAAGAGAAAGAAATATCACGAACTAAAAGGTAATAAACAAAGCCTTTTTTCCTTTTCTTATAGCAAAGCTCCCAGCTGCGACTGGTCACATTTCAGGAGTGGGTGGACTTCCTGCTCCACGTGAACAACGTGATTCTGGGCAACATGTCGGATTTGGAGGAGGAGGCCTACGGCAAGATTGCAGCTTGCTTCCAGTCGGTGAAAGGCGAACAGCAACAGGCCCTGGATGAGAATCGCAAGCTGCTAAAGGACATCGGTTCGATCATTAAACTTGTACAGAGTGCCTATCACCACAACGTTTGGGATTTGGAGGGCATATCCCTGGAGACCCTGACCGTCCAGCAATTGCTCGGCTTGAAAAGTGATCAGGTCCGGCCGGAAAGTGAAAGCGAGAAGGTAGGCCATAAATCCTTGAGCGAAATGGGCAGCGGTGACTTCCAGTGCAAGTGCCCGTCCAAATCTCAGAAAACCGGAAACGCTTCAAAACAGTTACCACGTTGAATAAGTTAATTTTTTCTGATTTTTGCTTAATAAATTATTACATTTTCTTCGCCACCACTTTAAGCCTGGTTTTGAATGGAGTTTTACTGTTTTGCAGATGGGCGAGTGCATGAAGTCCTTGGTGAACGAGATGGCCAACAAGCACGACGAGGTCTGTCTTTTAAAATCGCAGATCAACGCCCTGGAGGAAGTGGTGCACACGGCCAGTCAGAAGCTGCATCTCAAGGATCAGTGCATCGCCCAGCTCAATCGGCAGGTATAAATACTTTAGGAATATTTTTTTTTTTCCAAACCAAACCACTAAATATTTAAAAAACTTCTTGCACTATACATTTTAATATTTGTACAAATTAAATTTCAAGTAATACTATAAATACCTATACTTTCCATATTGACATTTGTTTTTATTAAAACCAAGATTAATGTTTAAAAAAACATCTGGTTTTTATGGCTATCAGGTGATCTAGTGACGTTACTCATTATTGTGCTTAGTTTATTAATAGATTAATTGGAATATTTTTCTTATCGCTTAATCGTCTTTAGCGGCGTCTCATCGGAAACCCGGTCATCTTACGTTTCAGTAGAATGTCAATGCTATAGGAAAATTCTTAGTGTAGTCAACATAACAGATCTGAATTTTCCAACTAATCATTTTATTTCCGTATACCCGAAAACAGTTGGAGGAGATCACGGAGTGCTTTTACACCATGTCGGAGCATACGCCATGCGATGGACCTTTGATGAATGTCACAAAGGATGTGAAACAGGAGCATCCGGTTGTTGAGACATCCTCCAGCGATACGGCGACCGTCGATACGATAACCAACGACATATTAGAGAATCTCTCGATACAGGACACCCAGGAAAGCGAGATGCTGCGGCTGCTGAACACGGAACTCAACGAACTTTTCGATTTGCATAGCAAACAGGAGTACCAGGCCATGGATTGTCGCCGGAAGCGTCTCTCCTGCTTCTTCGAAATGTTGGTAAGAATTTCCGTATCTTTATCAGAAATTAATGCTAAAGATACTCTTTTTACTCTAGACTACAGAACGCGATAATACGGTGAGAAAACTGGAGAACATTCGTAGTCATCTGCGGATCCTCCAATCGGACCTCGAACAACCCTGCTTGACCTCGAATAGTCCTGAGACAGGGCCCGATGATCCGGACACAAAGATGCTAGAAGTCCTACGATGGAAACTACACTCCCTCGACCAATGTAACCGGGAATTGCACGGAAAATGTCAGCGCTTGGATACCGAATCAAAAAGTTCGTATTCCTGATTATCGAATACGTTAGAGTTTCGCTATAACGTTGAAAAAAGTCAAAATTTCAGAGTTGCAGGCCCAGATCGAATCGGACAACGGCTTTAGTCAGAGAAATTCGGATATTCTAAAGGAGATTGCCGATCTAATTTGCAAATTAGTAAGCTCAGATTTTTATTCTTTATTATAACATTTAGAGATATCAATTTACTTATCAACTGATCTCTTACTAATAATATCTTATTAACTGAAAGCTATAATTCTAGTTTGAACTCATAAACAGTAGTATAATCTTTGAGTTAATTATTAGAAACTGCAAAATGTGATCAAAATCGTTTTTTGTTTTTAATTATAAAAAAATCATAGATAAATAAATATATCATAAATACCATTCACATAATTGTTGAATTCAACTGGCATTAAAATCCATTTTTAATTTAGCATTCCTCGGATTTCTCATACAATGAAGTCTACGATGAGTCCTCGACGGATAACCCCTTCTGTATAGCAATCAAGGAAATGTTCGAGCAGAGATCCGAGCAGGAGCAAAAACAAATGGCATGTGTGAGTATCTGACAGTTTCGATTACCGTGCAATTAAGTGATTCCAATAACCCCGGTTGTCATATCAAATGCAGAAAAACGATACGAAAACACCTACCCCAAAGAGGGAGCCCACCAAAGCAACCAAACCTTCCGCAGCCACAGCTAAAACAAAATCAACAACTAAACCTTTAACTAAGCCAACGACAACTAAAACTATAACAGCGAAAACAACGACAAAAGCGAGGACCTCCAAGTAACTATGTCACTTGTTGACCCTCCTGAACATTTAGTCTAAGCTAAGCCAAGTTAAGTGTAGTTAAGTATAGCTTAAAGTTCGTCGAAGTTGTAAAGTTATTTATCATCGAAATAGTTCCCGCCAAAAACTAACAGAAGAAAAAGAAAGAAAGAATCGTTTGTTTATGTACACAAATCAGTTTGTTTGTGTACACAAATAAACTGAAATCTATGTATGTGGCTAAAATAAAAAGCCAGAAGCTCAGTCGAAAGGGGATATCAAAAACTAGAACAATTAATTATTAATTTTAAATTCCCGAAATAATTAATTTTGTCCAAGTTATGATTACTTAACTTTAATTAAAATATATCTTTATTGCTTAAACTAATGGCCATGTCTCTGGCGTGAAATACATTTTCCTCCCCGTACATTGAATTTTCTTATATGGTAAACGACATTCGCCTTCGAGAAATAAGCCCCATATATATATGTATATACTCTTTATGTACATATCCTGGCGGGAATGACAACAAATATTGTTGCCATTCGAGTCGTCTGATTTATTTACCCATATATTTGGCCTGGACGCAAACGTAAGAGATCCATTTCACTCCCCCTTTGGGTTTTTGTCTACCTTCGACAAATACAAATCGCTTGCGAATGTGTTTATTGTGGAAACTCGGCTGTATGTTCAACTGCAATTGCCCGGAGAGGGAGTTCCTCCTGCCCTCCATCCAGATCTACCTTCACCCCAGGAACTGGCGAATCGGAAATAGGTTTCGTGTTATTTATTTACCCACAATCGACACGCGAGGCAGGCGAGCAGTGATATGCATATCGATGAGAGCCACGGGATTGGGCTAGGACTCGAGTGACGAGAGCTGCTCGTGATCCTCGTGAGCGGGAGGTTAAGGAACCCGGGATTGAACAAAATACTCAATGTTTCCTAAGGCCATTTTTTTTTTGAAATAATCTTTTTCTTATTTCTTGCTTGCATTTCCCTATTTGCTAGATAACAACTTTTATACACGAAAGTAGCTTTTTGAAACTTACCACCCTTTAAATATAAAATTTTCAATATTCTATTTTATTTAAAGCATGTTGCCAAAAGAATTACATAAAAAGCACAACTGCACTGTAAGCAACATTTAAAGAATTTTTTATATGTTTAAATATAAAAATGTGATTACTTTAAAAATAATATAATTAAATAAACACTTCCTAAATAAAGTAAAGAAAACTTAAAAAAAAGCCACTGTAAAAGGAAAATTGAATAAATATCTTTTTGATCTTTTTAAAGATTTTTAAGTACTAAAAATACTTTCATATCTTATTTTTTTTTGTCAATGCAATAGTTGATAAGCCAAGTAAATATTTTTGAGATATAACTAAAAAACTAGTAAATAAATTTTTTCAACTTGCTTTGGAGTTAGACTGCCCAAATGTTAAGCCCCTCACGTGATCATCTCTTTGGCAAACGGCTGGGCGCAAAATCAAACACAACTCGGCATGAAGCCCAAGTCGAGAAGTAGTTCGCTTCAGAATCCTGTCATCCGTCGGCGGTTGCTGTTTAGTCGCGTGAAACAAATCAAGGAAGCGCCAGGAATCGGCACCGGGAATATCGCGCTATGTCCTCGCTGAACCCGGACATAAAACAGACTATTTACGACCCCTAATTAGACGACCTCGCGCCCAGCCAGCCAATTTGAATTTATTTCGCGCGAAAAGCGAAAGGAAAATCGTGCAATTAGCTGGAAAGTTTTCCGCTGAGAACGCGAGGCAAAAGTTGGCCAAAAGTGCAAATTGTTTTCGAGTGTTTCGAGAGTGGGTGGCAAAATATAGTGCAAACTGTAAATGTGCAAATTGAGCCAGTGAAAAGGTGTGGAAAACTGAAATGTGAAGGGGGAGCCCTAATGGGTTTAATGACAGACAAGGCATCATAACAATTCATTGCCCCCGTCTTAATCGATTTTCACATTTCCCCAGGCTATCGAATTCGTACTTCGCCCCCGCCCCATTATAATATGCCTTTAAAAGTGTTTTAAGTGCGCGGAGCCACGCTTTCCCCACGAATTCCCCTCTCAATAAAGAACTACTATAACCCAACCAAGAGTCAGACAGACGATATTATTCGCTGCCATCCGCGGCAACTTTATTTTCAAATCGTGTCAAACAGTCGGGCCGGGCAAATAATAATATCTATAAAACTGGGGGGAAGTCCCCCACCAAAACTTGTGTTGCCAAAGTGCCAAAGAAACGAAACTTTGAAACCCGAAACCTTGCCACCTACGGTTCGAATTGGTTTTATTTTCGTGACAAACTTTTAATAGCAATATTATTGAAATGAAATGAAACGGTAATGAAGCCAAAATTCGTCTGGGTTATGCGAGATATATTTCTAAGGCCGACACGAAGGCTCCGTTTTCAAGCATTCGACACCGAAAGCGATTTAAATACAGAGATACTATATGTATAAACAATCGACAATTGACAACTGACAGGTGATTCCGTGCGCGGATTTTTGGGCAATTAGTTACAGATTTTTGACTTGCCATGGTAAGCCTTTCGTCCTCGGGGAAATCGAGAACAGCTGTCCCATTTCCATTTTTGATTTTGTAGAACGCAGAGGCCAGCTCCTCTGATTGCCCCCATCGCCAGCAGTTGGAGCACACGCTGCTCCACTGCCAGACCCAGTCGGAAATCCTCCAGGCCACCCGGGATAACTACCTGAGCATCATCGATGAGTTCAAGCGGGATCTCGAGGAGCTGACCGAACAGGTGGAACAGCAGCAACTGCAGCAGAGTACACAAAGTACAAGCCAATCCTGCCCAGAGCCAGAGCTCCACTGTGTGGATCCTCCACGGATTAACTGCGAACTAGAGATACAAGTTGGCCCAAAAAATACATATAATGTTTCCTAGAATTGATTTTAATATATTTTTCCCCCTTTTTTTCCTCCTCAGAACGAACACCTTGCCTGCCAAATTCAAGGACTGCAGGGCAGTTTACAGGATCGAGATAATCAGATTGATCAACTGCAGTCCATGATCAAGAGCTACTCCGACTTCAGCGAAAACAATCGACTCAAAGGAGAGATCCATGAACTCAAACAAAAGAATTGTGAGTTAACAAAACAATTTAAAAAATATCTTAAATGTTTTTACTTTACATTTTTTAAATCTAAAATAAATTAATAGTAACCTACTTTAAAAAATTACAAAATTCTTAATGAAGACTTTCGAAAATTTTCAACAACGAAATGTTGTGCAAATTACTCACACAATTAGAGTGCAAACATTTCATTGCAATTGTATTAACACTGAATTATACAATGAACTACAAAATTTTATTTATTTTTTAAGTTTATGAACTTTTAAATATTTTAAAACTACAAAAAAGCCGTTTTTTTTGTATTTAAAAATTCTTGAATACTTCATAAATTTATAAATCACATTCGGAAAACAGTTCGAAACAGTTTACTGCATATATACCAATATTGATTTTGGATTAATAAAAATCCCTTTTTCCAGGTGATCTGTCCCGCCAAATGCGGGAACTCAAGAGCCTGTTGAACAACCAGGAGGAGCAGCGCGTGGAGCTGTGCTCCAAATACGAGAACCTGATGACCAGCTTCGAGGATCAGTGCCAGGAGTTCAAGGGAGCCAAGAGAAAAGTACAGAGTCTGCAGACGCGACTGGATCAAGTGGAGCAGCTGCAGGTTGAGCTGAGAACGGAGGTGGGTTTGGGCTGTGGACATATTTTCAAAAATATATATTTATATTAAAACTGCCTATTTCAGCGCAAAATGCTGCGGGAGGAGGTGATCGCCCTGAAGGAGAAGGAGGCCGTCTCAACGGGACGAGAAAGGGCCCTCCAGGAGCAACAGAAAAGTGGCCATATGGAGGTGGAGAAGATGCGTCACCTGATCCGAGACATGCAGGTTCATCTGCAGAGGGAGGACGCCCAGCATCGCGAAAGTGTTTTGCAGCTGGAGGATGCCAATCAATCCTTGCGGGACCAGATGGGCGGCCTTGCCGCCGAGTGCCAGCGTATGCAGATCCGTCTAAAGTAGGTAGTCCGTACGGGATGGAGTGCATCCATATAAGAGCAGCTGCCATCTCCTCTCTTCCCGGTAGGCAACAGACCGAGGTCAACGAGCAGCAGGAGCAGATCATTGACTCCTTTCGCAAGTGGAAGGATGCCCAGGTCAGGGCCGACGAGGCGATGAGGCAATGCGCCAAACAGGCCGAGGAGCACATCCACATGCTGCTGGACGAGAACCGGACGCTGGCCGAGGAGTACCGCTGCCTCTTCCGGGACCACACGCTTCTGGATAAGGAGATGTATCGGGTCAAGCAGGCGGTCAACTACGTGTCCAGCTCCTCGATGGGATGTCCACCTCAGCAGAGTGGCGGACGGATGAATCCCGAGGCGGGAAACGATGTGAGTTTAAAAACCTTAAACATTTTATGGTCTTCTTTTTAATTTACACTATATTGTCCGTACAAAACTCAAAAGTTATCCGAATACTATTTGATATTTATTTTTATTGCTTGCTTTCATCCATTATGTCTTCAAAATTATACCAATTTGGATTATCATTGGACCATTAAAAAGAGGCAGCTGTCATAGAATAAGTATTTTGCATATGTATGACTTATCCCGTGAATCCCGCAGATGGCCAGACGACTACAGAACCTGACCAGCACTTCTCAACGTATTTCCAACCAGAACAGGACCCTCAGGACTCAGGACAATCCGCTGGCCTAATCCACATTGAGGCCCACCCGATCTTCAGACGATTTGTCGTAAGAGTAACCAGGAATTCCATGGTGTCCCGGAATGTCAAGCTTCTCCCTCCGTCCATTTTAACATTGTTCACACCCAAAATCCCTAGGCTAACAACATTTTCGAAGCGCGTAAATTGTAAATTATCTTTGTAAATTGTGGTAGAAATTAAATAATACCAAGTGCTTGTAAAGCTTTGAGTGGTCTTGTATTGTCGTGAGAAAGATTTCCTATCACTAGGTTGTGATTAAGCTTATCTATTCACATATAAGACTATTGCTTAATATTTATACAGAACACCAAGTAACATGTTTAACATTTATTCTATGTAGGTAAACACAAAGTACTAGAAACAAAAGCCACTAATGCTCTAATAGAGTATCTAGTACTTATCCTCAATCTGTAGGAGTTTCTCCTATTTCCCGTCATCCTGTTGGATTAGTTTGGCTCTTTCACTAATTGCTATTAAGGCCATCTTGATTTGGGCTCTTTTCTTGACACTTTCCTCACGCAGGACATCGGATTGCTTTGTCAGAATCTTGACACGGGTGTCGCTGAAGCGTTCTGCCTCCTGAATGGTCATCTCCAGGTACACATCCTTGCCCACGTTGACCAGGATGCGGTCCATCTTGCGGACGCGAGCCTGCATGAAGATGTTGCTGCCGATGTTCACCTGCGTCTTATAACCATCAGGCAGATGGGTGTCGAATGTCTGAAGGGTGTTCTTTAGCTGGACATACTCCATGATCTCCTCGTTGAACTGACCTATAAAGTTTTCCAGCTGCCGGAGGTCCTCCTTCAGGACTTCGTTAATAAACTCCTCAATCTGCGTGATGCGTGTCTGATTTGCAGCCTGTCTGTTGGAATAACTTTATAGTTTTAGAGGATTCTCTTGGGTGTATCTTACTTACTCCTCCATCCTGTGAATTTCTGTGGATTTTATTTGCATTGTAAGGGCGTTAGAATATTAAGAAATAAGATGGTAAGAAACCTCTGTTTACGTTTTGCTTCTTCTCTTTAAAATAGCGGCGAAATGTTGTTATCGATAAGCGGAAGTGTTGAATACATAGCTATTTGAAAGCCATATCTGGCTTTTATTTACCAGCTACATTTGTTTGGCTTGCAGAAAGGTGACCCAAATGGCCCGTTCGAAACCGATATCTTCTTCGGTATTCAACCTATAAACATTTACGATTTTCTTCTGTATTTATTTGCATTAAGATTATTTCCATTGAACTAATAAATAAATTGAATTATTTTAATTTTATTCAAAAACTCAGAAAAATGTTTGGGACACCTTTCTGCAAAGCTATTATCATAATGGCCCAACTCCAAAAGGTAAAGTTATGTGCAGGTCCCGTTTTGCACATATTTCAATTTCGAAATGAACATCATTAAAATGGTCAAAATTCGTGTACAATTTTTTAAACTTGAATACATATTTAATGAAAATGTAACCCCAAGCTTTTATTCGTATATGAGTCCCGTTGTATTGATTTATTTTATAAGCCGGATAGCGCTGTTTGGGTTACAGCTAAGTTAATGAAAAAATATTAGCAAACACATAAACCGGCTGGAAAACTCGCTAATCAAATGTTTTAGTACATTTTCAACTTCCACGAGTTGGCAGTCCCGCATCACAATATTCGTTTTCGCGCTTTTTTTTTGCCAAACAATTTCCGATTTCCAATTTAGAACGAAAATGTCGCTTAAAAAGGCTCTCGATGATTGCCTGATTGATTTCGATCGCCGTGTGCTGGTCACCGATCTCCTGGAGGAGTACAAACTGCCCTACAAGGAGGTGAACGATGTGCTGGAGGCCTACATCAAAACGCAGGAACCAAGCACGAAGTTTGAGAAGAGATTTCTGGTTCACGGCAAGCGTAAAACGCAAGGATCCGATTCCGTCGAGGAGCTATACTCCGTGGTGCAGGAGAGCAAGCTGAAGGATTGGCTGGCGAAAGTTCAGGATGCCGAGTCGCAGCTCTACAGCGTGGAAATCGCCGGGGGCTCCAAATCGCCAGCTGCAATTTTCAAGCCCATGCAGCACTTGGAGGTGAAATTGGCCAAAGTGGAGCAGCGTCCTGGAGCGGAAAAGACTGTTCCCATTTCAAATGGTGCGCCCCTCACCAATGGCGTCAAATCGGAGTCCTCCAAGTCAGGGGCTTCAAAGCCAGATTCCACCAAATCTTCGGTGAAAGTGGAGCCTTCAAAAACTTCGCTCAAAGCAGAAAAACCAAAGGCAGAGGTCGAAAAACCTGCAGCCAGCAAGGGAAAACCCTCTCCGGAATCCAAGAAGACCTCGCCCAAGGAAAACGCCTCCAAAGCTAAGCCTGCAGCAGCCAAGAAGGGCAGCATCAATAGCTTCTTTACAGCAGCGGCCAGCAAACCAAAGGATGTCAAGGCCACGCCCAGCAAATCACCTGCTGCCAGCACCATGGAGAACTTCTTCAAGAAGCAACCGCCGGGAGCTAAGAAGTCGCCACCCGAAATGGAGGAAAAAACCAAGAAGGAATCGACCGCTCCTCCCAAAACGGAATCATCCAAGAAGAAGTCACCTGCTCCCAGAACAAAACCCTCACCAGCAAACACCTCCGTCCAACTTTTCGACGAAGAAAGCGCCGAATCCTCCGACGAGGAGGAGAAGCTGGACAAGCTGCGACGCAATGTTATAGGATCAGACAACGAATCCGATCAGGAAAAGCCTTCGACCACCAAGCGGCGACGTATAAGCGATTCTGAGGACGAGGAGCAGCCGCCCAAGAAAACTGCCGAAAAAGAAGTAGTGACCGTTGACGATGACAAAATGGACACGGAGACAGCCAACGAAACGTATTTGGATGAGGATGGATTTGTTATCACACAGCGCAAGCCGGCAAAACCGCAACCCGTCAAGAAAAAGGTTTCCCCCAAGACTTCAGCTCCTGTTAATAAAAAGAAATCGCCTCCTTCAGCCGGAAAAACTGGAAAAGATGGGCCCAAAACAAAGCAAGCAGGTATCATGAACTTCTTTGCCAAGAAGAATTAAATGTTGTTGTTAAGGTTATATACTAAGTAAGCAAATTAATTTTTTTGTTTTTAATAAATTTAAATATGAGTTGGAATGATAATGCTCATTTTTAAATATAACTAACTGGTTAAAAAAAGTCTAAATAGGAGGGAGATCCTGATAAGCTTCGATTAAAAACTAGGCAGCTACTAATATATTAATACTTATCAGCTTATAAGGTATATATATAAATTGAAAACTTTTATTTAACAAATCTCAATATTTAATATTTTGGTTTTCGCTAGACCACGAAACCTTTTTAATACCCACTAATTATTCTCCCATATCAGAGCAGTAACGTTCCATTTAATTTTCAAACTCTCTCTGGTTTCACACAAGAGGTTCTATCTATTTAATAGAATTAATCTATGAAAATTCAAAACACAGTTGGTTTGTTGTTAAAAAGAATTTATTGCATTTGTTTATAGCTGCTAGAAGTTGTTTGAGTATCTTGTTTGTAATTTGTATATATTTATTTATATAGATTCGCGTGTCTGATTTAGTGTCCGTGTGTGTGGGCGTGTCGGTGTGAATTTTGCCTGGCCTATGCTTTATCAGTGCGTGTTGTATTTTCTTCATTCTCTTTATCTTTACCGTATTTCAAAACACTTTAAAAAATTAAGGCGAGGTTTGAAAAACACTTGTTCATTCATATAATTTGAATATTCATTAATTTAAATTGTTCATTTGTTGTCTTGTTGTTTTGTTTCTGCAGTGATTGCGTTTGATTCCTATCTGATTTTTAAGCATTAAAAGCTTACAGTCAGGCTGCCGATGGCAAGCAAATACATATGTAAGTGATTGATTAAGGGTTTTTTAGGGTGTGGATAAAACAATTTATCGTGTTTCTGGCAAACAATCGAGATCAGTGGCTACACTTAGGTAGTAGCTTCTCAGAAGCTAAATTAATGCTTACACTTAGTTTTGCTTCGGCCTAACTACCGATTAAGTTTCCCGCTTTGGGACTGCTCACTGTACGATCGGCTATGTATCCAATGTTTCAAGTTCGTGTTCGACTGACAATTTTACTAAATTTTGAAGCTTTAAAATGATTAATGAACATACAGTGGGCCATCCCAAGGGGTTGCACTTGTAGCTTTGTTAATTCATAAATATTGCTCGCAATGCAAAATGAAAAAGTCATTTGCTATAAAATCAATCAGTTAATAATTAATCATTTCCTAGGTGTGATATGAACATAATGTGTGCATGATATGACTCTACTAATATGATCGTTTTGATTTCTCTCGCACGCTATTTGCCTTGACTTAATCACCTAAATGAATGTAACATTCGTTTCGTACAATTTAATATCTCAGCACCATTTTTTTTAATAATAGCACAAAGTATATATGCATTTATGTTTTGTATGGGTCAACAATAGAATTTTCCTAGAATTTTTTGTGGGTGTTGTTTTCGTTTTCGCTACAGAGTAAAATATATCTAAGTTATTTAACTTTTGCTCGTTTCATTTGTTTCGTTTTCCTTTCTAAACTTGCGTATCTACGACACCGCCATAGGACTCTTCAGCAAATTTGGGCGCAATATAATCCTCGTAGTAGTTGATGAATATATCCTTGAACTCATCGGCGATGAACTCCAAAGCGTTAAGCATTTGCATTAGCTCCCGATCGTTGCACTTGTAGTTGCTCAGCGCCATCACATCCCAGAAGTAGGCGAAGTACTTCACATACTCGATCGACTGTCCGCCGTACTGAGCCATCACGCTGGGCAGTACGGCTCGCAGGATGGAGCCCAGTTTGTTAAATTCCCAGTCGTCCAGAACAGTGGCCCCCTCTTTTGGTTGCCGGAGTTGTTAAAGGTAGAAGGAGCAGACAGAGAAATAGAGATCAGAAGTGATAGTTTACCAGGATGTGAAAGTAGAGGACTAAGCTGAAATTATTTTGAGAGAGCTAAGCCTATTTCGGTGATCTACATTCGGGATAGTAACGTCTATTTATTACTTAAGTAAATACTATTAAAAATAACTCTGACTTGCTTGCTTTCTTTAAATGTGAAAACACATAACATTATTTTTATAAAATGAAACTGTTTTATAATTCTCGGTAAAGATTTTGAACTCAAATTTCTATTTTATTATCACTTTTCAAATCAATTATTTCACAAATTTCTAACAAATTCTTGAAAAAAGAAATCTTGGAATTATATTGAGTTTTAGGGTAAATTTAATTTTTGCATAAATTAAAATCTTGTAAAGCCTTAAATTTGTGAAATCTAGAAAAGCTTCGCGAAAAAAAACTTTTTAAAGCTGCTTAGCAAAAGCGAAAGTATGATTACAGAAAGCACCGAAATAGTTTTTAATATGGATAATCAGGATGATTAAAATGAAATGTTGGGTTGAATAGAAGGAAGGTGCGCAACCAAGAGAGAAGAGTGAGCTGGTAATGAGCATAAATCAAGTAAATGAAGCTTTTCTACTTCTTATATAAGGACCTACCACGGTGCACCATGAGACACTGCTCCAGGAGGAGCCTGGCCAGAGCCACCTTGCACTCGTGCAAATCCATCAGTTGGTTCTCGGCGCGCTCGATGGCCGCGTAAAGTTTGCAGCGCTCCTCGATCAATTCGCAATCGATGAGGGACGTGGTGAAGGCCCAGAACCACTCCAATTTCTGGGCCTCGCCACAGTGGGGGCACAGGATCAGCTCGGCGCCATTGCACTCCGGCTGGGTGTACTCCTCGGAAAGCCACCAACGCAGATTCGTGGCATGTGGCAGGGCGTTGGGTGTGAAGATTTCCATGCACTTTGGGTTATCACAACGGTAGCGATGAAATTTGTGCTGCAGGATAAAAAGTAAGGAAAGTAATTAAGTAACGTAATTTTTTAATCTCTATAAAGAAAGCCTAAGCTGAAGTGCTATCCTGACTTACGAACTGGTCATCCGAGTGTGAGAGCTGGCAGGCGTTGCAGTGGCACCGGATGCCGCGCTCCTGAAGCTGTTTGCTGCGCTCCTCCCGCGGCAGTTGCTGGAAGTTACCGCCGGCGAAGCAGTTGTAGATTCCCGAACCCGCCGGCAGATCGAGAAGGGCCAGTGCGGTCACCTTGCGGCCGGAAAACTTGGCGCAGATCGTAGAGGAACAACTGTGGCGGCACAGGCTCAGAGTTTCCGGATAGACGGAGTACGAGACGACGGCCACCTCGCCGGCCAGCAGGTGGAGGTGTCCCTCCTGGAGACGCATGGGTGCAGCCCACAGCTGGAATTCGTTGAGCGGCGAGAAGACATGAGGATCAGCGGGCAGGACGAAGGATCGGCTGGCGGTAAGCGATCTGTGACGCAACTGGCCAATGTGCCGCATCAGCAGAGCGGCACACAGCAACTCCCACTCGGCACTGGACATCCTGGACGCCGTGGGCAGGCTCTTTTCCAGCTGCTCGAAGAACGTGGTGCACTTGCTCAGGTAAATGGCCAGGATGTGGGAGGCCAGGGCCAACGCTATCAAGGTGTCCGAGGGTCGCTCCTCCCTCAAACGCTCCAATCGCAGCACGGCACTGTAGGCGATGTCCTGCCGCTCCTGCAGCCCTCCATTGATGGCCGACCAGAGCTTGCTCAGCGTCGGCTTCTTCCGGCAATGGCCCAGCATTTCCGGCAGTCCGGTGATCAGCATCCGGAGGGCCAGCTGCAGGAGGCGCGGCATTCCGAAGACCTCGCCAAAGGACTCGAACAGCTCGATCTGGTGGCCAAAACACTCCACCGCATGTATTGCAGCGTGCTTGAAGCGGCACTGACGGGAACAATAGACCACCAGGCGATTGGAGCAGTAAATGCAGGGGAAGGGAATAAACTGGGTGATCCCGCAGTAGTCGCACACCCGGCAATTACCACTCGGCACCATGGCCACTGCCTCCGACTCGAAGATCAATGCGTTTTTGGCCACTGCCCGGGTTGTGTGCAGTGACGAGGAGTTGTCCAACCAGGCTCTATTCAATACAAAAAAGTAATTAGTGATTATACTAATGGTTATGCTGATTCTTACTCACATTTCAAACGCTTTTGAATCGTTGGTATCCAGATCGTCGCCCGTTTGAACGGCCATCTCGAAGCGCTCCACCTTGAGCACCTCGCATTGGTGCCAGAGCTCGTGGGTCCTCGCTTCGAACACCTGGTTCAGTTCAATGTGCAGGAGCTCGTGGAGATGCTCCTCGCAGAGCGCAAAGTTACGCAGTTTTAAGGCACAGGCGGCTTGGCGCAGCTTGATCAATGGCAAATACTCCTCCGGATAGCCCAGATCCAGGGCGCACAGGCAGTCATCGTAGGATTCCTGCAAGGTGCATTTCAAATTTTATTAACAGGATATTCACATTTTAAACAGGAGATCTAGTTCTCTAAAATGTTGTTATATCATTTATTTTTAAAAAATATTCGTACTATAGATTAAAGGATTATAAATCATCGAGGATTTTGAGGCACAGTAAATATAATTTGTAATCTCTAGAGCTTTTAAACTACTTTAATTTGTTTTTAAATGATTGCTGTGACAAAAGAACTTCTTTCACGATTGGTCCATCGGTTTAAAATGTATCAAAACATACTTTTAGAAACCTCTAAACGTGATTTAAAACTTGTCGGGATTTTCGAAGCACTGTAGATAATGAAATAAAAAATCCTAATGACGGTTCTTGAGATGAACATCTTACCGCATAAAGACCGCAGTCGAAGAGGACCAGGGAGCGATTGGCGTGGGCCAGGGCGGCTGCCAGTGTATTCCGGGCCGGAGCCAGGAATATCGCCTCCGTGAAGAGATCGCTGGCCTTGAGCGGATGCCGCTCCTTGCGGTACGAGTCGTTTCCAGCCTCCCGAAGTCGACGCGACTCCTCCTCCGACTTGAAGTGGCCCGTTTGGTGGCGCAACTGTTGAAACCATTTGAGTACATGTGGCCTGTGCGATTTGGAAAAGGGTGGTTGGTTAATTATTCACGGCAAATGTCAAAACGAAGTGACCCAAATTCCGAGTTCGACAGCAAACAATGCTCCTTAACTTAAACGTACGAATGCATGCAACCGAAACAACAGGCGTAGGCAGTCCACACTGGTCGAGGTTTTCGATTTTGCGGTATATAACTATATAACTATGTAAAAAATAGGTTTTTTAATATATTAAACTAACATCAGAATAGGGAATGTTCTTATATCGGTCACATTTTGTCATAATTTTTTTTACATTTGAGTATGTCTTAAATGTTTTGCAAATTTGTTATTTATAGTTTTGAAAAATGAGTTTTTCGAATTTATGCCGAATTGTCTGAAATCTAAACCAGTGTGCAGGGGTGCAAAATCAACTCCCATAAATTAATTTAATTTCATAGGGTAATTATGGATTTGCATAATGGCTCCGTTACCCGCCCCTGGCACTTAACCCATATTGGGCCATTGCACACAAAAAAAATCGTTGGTCAAATTGACCAATGCAGTGATATGTACTTCAATCTATTCGATAATATACTTTTTTTAGTTAGAGTTACTTTGGAAATTACTGTTGGAAATTGTCAACATTGTATTGGTTAATTTGATAATGTATTTGTTAATTGTTTTATCACAGAAACGGTACATAAACAATGAATAGTTAAGCAATTAAAATTAGTAATTCTACTAAAAAAAATTGGTTAATATATAAAGTAGATTCGGTTTAATAATGGATAGTAATATCACATTAATGGTAAGGTACAACTGGAAATAAATAGAAAGCTAATTTTTTTGTGTGTAGATAATGACTAAAAGTCCTTTCACCCAAAGCATGGGATCAGAAAATGACATAAATATTATAGATTATTAATCTGTAGATAGAATTGGAATAGGCCCATTAATTGTCACAATCGAAACCACAGCTTTGTTCACCTAAAATCCACCAGCGGCTCTTTGGTTGCGGTTGGGGACGAAATACCCAGTCCGCCCACCGCTCCAATCAGGTCGTCATCCTCCTCGGCGTTTTCGGGACGGGAAAGCGGTGCCGCCGAGGTGCTGGCCATGATGTCGCCGCCATCGTCCAGATCCCGGCTCAATTTCCGGCGTTGCACGGGCGTTAGCAGCAGTAGCAGCTGTAGCTCATCCTTATGGAGCAGCTCGTCGGGATTTAACTGCTTTAGCTGCTGGCCAATCAGGTCACCTAATGTCACAGCTGGCGGAGCGGTAGAAGGAGCGGCAGGAGCAGCCGAGGAGGCGGAAGCGGAAGCGGAGGAGGAGGAAACGGGTGGAGCGGTGGTGGCAGCTTTGTTGTTCACACGCGCGGAGGATGTGGAGGAGGCCATCACTTGGGGACTGATTGGTGCTTTTGGCTCGCTTTTTCAGTTCAGTTGGCCATCTTGTCACTGCGGCCGCGGCAGTCCTGGCGAATTATTGGCTATCGAGTGTAATTTGAGTGCACAACGCCCCGACATCATTGACTAATAACGTTTGCTAAACTTTCACGAACTCCCGCACGTTGTGGCCTTCATATTGATTTTTTTAAACATCGCCTTTCGTGCCAGCGATGTGCCAGTCGTAACGGACTTATCGCTTAGGGGTGGACTTTCGGAGCTACCGTTATTTTGGGTGATGACACTTCCTTTCTAACGATACATTATTATCCTGGCAAACACATATTCCTCGCAAATGGATTCGGACATTAAAAAAAATAGTTTAAATACACAAAATATGTAATAAACCGGTTACCTTTTCTACCTCATTTGCATACAAATGTTAATTGAGGAGATGTATGGGAAATAAATAATCAAAAGATAAAAAGTTGCATCTAGTCATGTTGTTTCAAATACATTAGCTTCTTCGTAATTTTTACAAATTCAAGTTCAGAAACTGCAGACTGCAATTTAATAGAAAAGCATTCTTTATTTATTGTACATTTTTATAAGAAAACTTAAAAAAAAAAATGACAAAAAAAAAGTATATTGAACTACACAAATATAACAATTTTAGGTCTTATATTTTACTTCGAAAAATATTTTGTATAACGTCTTAGCCAGAAACCACTGTAGAGGTTGCCTAGCAAGTGACACACCTGTTTAAACATTTCATTTAGAGACCCTGATAGATACCAAAAATATACCAAATGTAACCTTTTTCCATTTATCTGGCAACCCGTCGAAAAGCGCCAAGTTAGAAGTTCTCGAGAGAAATCTTTTTCCATTCATATTCTTATCTGCCGGCCTGCTCTTAAAAGTAAACAAGTCCCGTTGGTTGGTTGGTTGTCTTACCGCACGTTACCATCATTGAACGGTCCGTGTGCTATATTCTGTTAATATAGCAGCTGATAAGGCCGGCATCTGTCCCTCTCCTCTCCCTTTTCCACCTTCCAGATTGATCCACCTCATTACCTACTCCCGCTCCAAGAACAAACACATGCACTGCACTCGGCTCTCTCAGATCCAAAAAAGTTGTAAGTTTAAACGTGCTTATCTGGTATTTGCTGCGATCTTATCATTCACAGCATCTGAAGCAGTGGAGGATATGTGATCGCGCATATAGTGTAGAAAACACTTGTCGCTCGAATCTTGTGTTGTAACGTGGCTGCTGTCGTCTGTTTGTGTCTTTAATTGTTAAAAAAATAAAAAATAATATAAAATTCAGAAAATAATGTCCAAGAACGAGGATACACCGATTGCTAAGTAAGTTTTTTAGGGGGGGCGTGATGAAATGGTTTATCTATCGCCTCTGACTTCTTCAGCAAAAGTTTTTCCCGTTTCCCTGTGCAAAAAGTTGGCCGAAAATAAAATCTCTTTTGGGGCGAAATTAACATAAAGCGCCAAATGAGCTGCTGATTTGTTAAATAGGCGTAAGAGCGGACCGCGTGGGAGCGGCGACAACTGACGGTTTATTCGGGGTCTTGGGGTCTTGGGGATTTTCAAGGTGCGCAGAGGCCTCGAAAAGTTGGATTGAAAGCTTAAAGCAGGGCAGCTAACGTATTTTGCTGTTTTTTTTATACCCGTTACTCGTAGAGTAAAAGGGTATATTGTATTCGTGCAAAAGTATGTAACAGCTAGAAGGAAGCGTTTCCGACCCTATAAAGTATATATATTCTTGTTCAGGATCACTAGCCGAGTCGATCTAGCCATGTCCGTCTGTCCGTCTGTCTGTCCGTCTGTCCGTCTGTCCGTCTGTCTGTCCGTCTGTCTGTCCGTATGAACGCTGAGATCTCGGAAACTATAAAAGCTAGAAGATTGGCATTTTGCATGCAGATTCTAGGAGTTCCTACGCAGCGCAAGTTTGTTTCAAAATGGTGCCACGCCCCCTTTAACGCCCACAATCGCTTATATACGATTTTAAAAATTTTAATATTTCGGAAAAGTAAAAATGCAGTTTTATTGTGTTTATCAATACCTATCGAAATGTAGCAGAAATTTTTCAAATCGGACCATTCGTTAAAAAGTTATGCGTGATCAAAGTTTCTATCTCCATCTCCCTCGCACTCCCTTTACCTGAGTAACGGGTATCTGATAGTCGGGGCACCCGATTATAGCGTTCTCTCTTGTTTTTAAATTTTTTTTTTTGCGTTCCCTCTCTATTTTTTTTCCTTTGTGCAATTGCGTTGGAAAGTTGCAGAGCAAGTAGTTTAGCGCCATTTGCACTTTTCGTAGTAAAAATTACGCGCACTTGCTCTGGCACACCCACCCACACACACACATACGTGGAAGGGAAAACTTATCAACGGGCACATCACACGCACACACACACACGTGCTCCTGATAAAGGCGGAGGCGGTGGCGGTGGCGGCGGAGTGGGCGTGGCCTTTAAGTAGTCATCGTAGTTTGCGTTAAGTAACAAAACTTCAAATTGAATTTTTCGCAGCACTTTTCATTTTAGCACCTATCAAAAAAACCCTTTTTGCAGCGTTTCGCTTCGTTTTTCGAAGCATCAGCTCATTACAGTGGGAACTGCCTGCTGATGGACGGCGGGTAGGGCTTTTCCCGGGGATTTTTCGGGGGGCCACTGGGCGACGGCACATTGTGTCTGCTTAAATGCCGCAGTGTTCTGTTGGCACCGGCAACGGTACGTTTTAATTCTCTGTTGAGGTTTTTGGAGTTGAAGCTCCTCCAAAAAACTTTTCCTGCTGTGGCTGCACTTACTTCTCATTCTTCTCGGGCTTCTTTCACTTGTTTACCGTGGAAAACAAGTACATTTCTATAGAAACTTGACTAACAAAAACTCTAACGAATGGCACATTTTAATTAAAGAATTAGTTGTGAAATGCCTCACGAGTTTTGTGTGGACCTTGAGCATGTATTTTTGGTTCATTTTTGACTTTGAATTTTGGGAAATTTGGAATAAAACCTGTATGCCTTTAGATTTTACAAACATAAAACGAATTATCCCTAAATTTCTAAAGTTTAATTTTTTATTTTACAACACAATAAACATTAAATTTGCTATTTACTTTTTTTTTGTGTTCGCAAAATTTTAAATTTTAGATTCGGTTCTCTTAGGAAGTTAGAAAAATTATGTTTTAGAGGCTATGAAAAACAAAAAAATTATTGAACTAATTTTAAATGAATAAGACAGTGTTCAGAATAAAATAATTATATTTACTCTTTTAAATACTGTTTAAATATATTTAGTCGGAAAAAAACTACAAAACTCTTCACTTTCTCATAAACTTAAAGACGGTCGCATAAGCAAGCTGAAAATTAAAATATTTTATTCTTCGGAAACTATATTTGAATGGAAAATATTAAATTTTATTGTCTTTTAAAAAGCTTTCCCCTTTAAGAATCACAAAGGGATTAAAACACAGAATAAGACTTCCAAGTTGTGATAGAACAAAAGTGATTTATTTCCCATGCTGGTCAATTGTTTTCAGTCGAGTTCAAAATTGTTTGCTTTCCTACCTCTACATTAAAGAGTTAAATCATGAATTTTGTATTTCCTTTTCCTTTTCAAAATCAATTAAGGATTCTAAAACTGAGCTTTTATTAATTCTTTCAATATCAAAAGACTTACAAGCTCTGATAGGTCGAAAGTAAATTTTATTCAATGCTTGTTAGTATTGGTTTTAATATTTAATATTTAATATCATTTCAATTAATTCTCCTCAGCTTGCTGAAATGGCTTCCATAAGGTATAGTGCATTAGCAGTGGACTCAAACACCTTGTTTTCTTGCAGACGCAACTCGGATCGGACGCGTCGGAGCAACTATGGCACGGCTCCCTCGTTCCACCTGCTGGAGCAGGGACAACCAGGTGCGAACGGAGGCATTGGCAATGGCAACAACAATCACCCGGCAACGCCCTCGACACCTGCGCAAATTTTTTGTTTACACGGGCGGTCCAACAACGTTGAAGGTAAGAGAGGGGGGCAGTAGCAAGGGGTTAAGAGGTGACTGTGACAAACTGCGGGGCACTTTCGTGTCGCTTTCAATCAGGGCGGACTACCTACTAGCTCGCAGCAATTTGCAGTCATTCATAAATTATCAAGAAAACGCAGCAGGCAGCGGCATTTTGCACTAAAAGTCAAATGCAAACAAATCAAAATCGACAACAACGAAAATCAACCAAATTAGTTTTCACATTGTTATTTTCGTGTTTTATTTGGCTGTGTTCGCAATATTGTAGATGTTTGATTGTTCTTAAGCGGTTGTTTGTTGTTGTCGTTTTTCCTCTTTATTTTTGGTTTTTTTTTTGTTTTCTTTCGGGGAATATCGAAAATTCTCTGCAATTTACCCGTGCATTCAGCTATATGGGCGACTGAGTGAGGAGCTGTAATATCGGGTAAATGCTCGCTAATTGGCAGACGGCACGGAAATCGTCGGAAATGAATGATGCCCGGCTGTATAGGAAAGCGGCGACTTCGCTGGATAAATGCCGCATGGAAATGCTGCACGAATATGGTGAGCAAACAACTTACCACCCACTCGAAGCTTTATTTCCCACCCACCACTTTTGCGTTTTCTGGCTCTGGCTCTGGCTCTGGCCCCTCTGTCATCAATCAGCTGATGATTCTCGAGGTCGGCAAACCAAATTATTGTGGATCTGGGCCGATCCGCCTCAGCCTCTGCCACTGCCACTGCCACTGCCACTGCCTCCCCCTTCCAGCATCTGTGGTATAATCAAAATTTATGCTCTTTGCTGACACACCGCTGCTGGGAGCAGACCGCATCCCACCATGGCCATATGTCATAAATCGCCAGAGGAGCCAACGTAATTTTCGTACGACAACGTCGATGGACCAAATAAATGTTTGGCTCATTTTTCGTATTTCCCCTTAAGAGAGTATGTCTACGTAGGGTCAAATGGCTGGAAATCGATGTGGCTATGTCAAGTTTATATTTTAATTTCCTCTGCAAAGTCTGCTAGGTGCTCCATTTTTTACACTCGGCAAATATAGTTTAAGTTCAAGGAGCCGATCGATTGTGGGTTGTATCGACGACCAGGATACCCTTTAGTGTCTGTATTTATATATCTTATTTCGATATGTTTACACATTTTGGTAAGAGTAGCAGTATTTATTGCTCGTATTTAATTTTACTAATAACTATGCACAATTTCGGGTTTTTTTTTAAAAAATGTTTTCTAAGTTATAATTAAGTTTGTTAATTTTGAGAAAAAGTTTGTTTTTAATTTTCGGATGAATTCAACACCAGTTATAATGTCCTCAAAAAAAAAAAAAAAATTTACAAATATTCAAATGAAAATATCTTTTAAATCTTAAAAAAATAGAATAAAAGACTATATTTTCATAAGCTTAGTAAGAGAACAGGACTAATAAAAAAGTCTAACGCTGTTTTTATACTACTAATATTACGTTACTAGTATTACGTTACACTATATCACTATTTACATCAGTTTTCTTAATATATAATAGTTTTTTAAATAGCAAACGATTTTTAGTGTATTTTTGCTATTTATTAGTCAAAAAACCTGATTAATGGGCATTTGGTAGTCGAAAATGTCGAATAAATAATACTTTTTTATACCTTCTTTTTTGGTGATGATTCGATTTATTGGCAGACGAGCGAGCCCGAAATGAAATTAACTTGCGTCTAGACGAGGTGGAACCGCCTCTGAGAGCTTCTGCTGCCGTATATTCCGTATACTGCCACAGACAGATATATAGTAATGTACACTATGTAATCGTCTTGGGGCTCTCGGTGCATTCAATCATAGTTTGAGTTACTAACTCCCATTAGATGGCCTGACTAGCCAAGTGCAGCTGCTCGCTGCAGCTGCTTTGATTTGTCCTGGCCCGTAGTTAGTCGTTCGTTAAACGCGCTCCAGATGGGACCATTTGCAAATGCTGGAATTCTAAGCAGTTCGAATAGGTCCGTTCATTGTTCCCCCGAGCGAACCTCCTCATTGTTATTGACGCGTATTCCTATTCCGATTCCGGGTCATGGATGTGCTCAAGCTCAGGAAGGCGGAACTGAACAAAGGTAACTTGCTAATTAGGACGAAAGATGATATAATTGGGGTATCTCAGCTGAGGAGTTAGCTACAATTAGCATATCAAATATCAAAAACATTTGTTTACACAAGGTAGTTGCTCGAAATGAAATCATACTTGGATTTGAATGCGCAAAATAACATTTCATTTGAATGCAGGTTTTAAGTTCGGTTGGTGGAGATGCTTTTTCCAACTTTTTGCGATGCTGTTTTAAAGGCAGTAGAGCAGAGGTAATTCATTTTTGTGGTCATTCTGATTATTTTCAAATTTTTGGACATTAAAAATGTAGAAGAGTATTTTAATGGGAAAAAAACTTGCAAAGTCCTATTTAAATATATTTTCCGAAAGGGTACATTTTTATACCCTTGCAGAGGGTATTATAATTTTGGTCAAAAGTGTGCAACGCAGTGAAGGAGACATCTCCGACCCTATAAAGTATATATATTCTTGATCAGGATCACCTCCTGAGTTGATATAGCCATGTCCGTCTGTCCATCTGTCTGTCCGTCTGTCTGTTTCTACGCGAACTAGTCTCTCAGTTTTAAAAATATCGAATTGAAACTTTGCACACACCCTTCTTTCCTTTGCACGCAGTATATAAGTCGGAACGGCCGGGATCGGACGACTATATCCTATAGCTGTCATATAACTGAACGATCGGAAATGCCATAACTTTGGTGTTTGTAAAGTTAGGAAGTTGAGATTTTCTATAGGTTTTATTTTTGGCCAATCAATCTGACCTACCGAATTTCATGAGAATCGGCCGACTATATCTTATAGCTGCCATATAACTGAACGATCGGAAATGCCATAACTTTGGTGTTTGTTAAGTTAAGAAGTTGGGATTTTCTATGGGTTTTATTTTTAGCCAATCAATCCGACCTATCAAATTTCATAAGGATCGGCCGACTATATCCTATAGCTGCCATATAACTGATCGATTGGAAATGCCATAACTTTGGTGTTTTTAAAGTTAGGAAGTTGGGATTTTTGATGAGTATTAAGAATGCATCATATGAATAATTTTGGAGAATATAATTTACAGAGTGCAAGGGTATATCAACTTCGGCTCCGCCCGAAGTTAGCTTTCCTTTCTTGTTTTATTTACATTACTAAAGGGAAAATTAAGCTAGTTTTTCACATTTTTATAGTTGTTTTTATAAACACTTCTGAAACTTTTAAAAAACTTTTAAACAGCAAAAAAATGTTTCTTAAACTTGTTTTGCAATACATTTGATTAAAGAGTTGAGAATTCCCCATAACAATGACAAATTTGTGGCTTTCAATTAGAGAGTATAACATGTTTCCATAGTCAATGACTTGTTGGATCGTCTTTAGATCTCAGTTGACGAACATTCTTGTCACCTGCCATAACAATGTCATTGATATTTGCACATAATGGAATGCCTTTTGTCGCGTATTTATTTCTATCCAATTAATGCCTGTGCGCCTGCACTTGGCATCGCCTCCGTCGTATTACCATTCCCCAGCCGTTGCCCTTGCCCTGCCTCCATTAATTATTTATAAGAACAAGTACACAGTACAATTGTTGCCATGGCAGAACCAGATATGGATGTGAAGATGTAGATGGAGATGGAGAAGGAGCACATCAGTGAATGTGCCGCCCATATCCACCACCCCGTATACGACATTAACCTCAGTTGCCCGGGAATCCAACATACTTTCCGCATTGCGCAAACAAACAAGACGAACTGTACGAAACGGAACGGTCCAAGGCGACCAATTAAAGATGCAGATGGATCGGAGTTGTTTAAATTGCAAGTATGGCGATACTTATGCATCAGCTGGCTGCATCAGTGGCTGCCCTTCCGAAAAGAGTGAACCCGGGATGCGGGTCTAATAGGTGAAATTTCCACGTGCCACAATCGTCGCCGTTGCAGTTGCAATGCCAGTTGCTTCTCCTCCAGAGTGCGGAGCCTTGGTTATGCACAGGAATTTAATTTCGCTGCCGGCATTGTTACGGCCATTGTGTGAGTGTGGGCCAGCATGTGGAAGCGAAGGATGTGGAGGATGCAGAGGTGGAAGGAGGAGGAGCAGGGGCAGGAGGCAGCAGCAGGAGGAGGAGCAGCAGCAGGAGCAGGAAGCAGACGCAGGCCAGGCGTCGGTGGCCTTGTGCTGAATTCAAATGAAGAAACCGCGTTCACAACGCAACCATGTCAGTGATGAGAGACTCCACATGTTGGGTGTCACGCACGGAAAAGTCATAAATTAATAAAACAGTGGATAAATTAAAATCATCCATCGATTAAAGCCGATTTATGTCATTAAAAGTTTTCGCATCATTTCGGTGGATAGTAAATTCTTTTAAAACATTAAAAACCAAAACTATCTACTCAAATTTATCTATTTATTGGTTTAATATCCTCTTACAGAATTAAAATTATAAATTTATTAAAACCAATAAAAAAACAAGAAAGGAAAGCTAACTTCGGGCGGAGCCGAAGTTGATATACCCTTGCAGAATACTCTGTAAATTATATTCTCCAAAATTATTCATATGATGCATTCTTAATACTCATAAAAAATCCGAACTTCCTAACTTTAACAACAACAAAGTTATGCCATTTCCAATCGTTCAGTTATATGGCAGCTATAGGATATAGTCGGCCGATCCTTATGAAATTTGATAGGTCGGATTGATTGGCCAAAAATAAAATCCATAGAAAATCCCAACTTCCTAACTTTACAAACACCAAAGTTATGGCATTTCCGATCAATCAGTTATATGGCAGCTATACGATATAGTCGGCCGATCCTTATGAAATTTGGTAGGTCGGATTGATTGGCCAAAAATAAAATCCATAGAAAATCCCAACTTCCTAACTTAACAAACACCAAAGTTATGGCATTTCCGATCAATCAGTTATATGGCAGCTATAGG